TGAGCCTGCGCGTCCGGAGCCTGTGCTCCGCAACGGGAGAGGCCACAACGGTGAGAGGCCCGCGGACGAAGAAAAAAAAAAAAAAAAAAGAACATCTGCCCCATGTTGAATGTATTCCATTCATCCCACCCTTCCCCTCTTTTTAGTAACTGCTATAAAGCAATTGACCCTTACTACAGAGATATTTTGTAATACAGCACTTTACGGGAGGTGTGAATTGAGATGAGAATGATTGCGAATTTTGAGAGAAAGTTGAATGAAAAATTTGTTCATTCAATCAACAAACATTTATAGGTACCAATTGTGCGCATGTTGGATTATAATGGTGTATGGTACACAAAAATACAGAACCTTTGAGTGTAGATCTTAGACTGCATACATTAAATTAAGTAATAAGTATAATGAATATTATAATGGGTCCTTAACACAGTCTGGAGTGGACATGGGGGTCAGGGAAGAGCCTTTGTATTCTTTACTACTGTTGCCACAAATTTAGTGACTTAACACCCATTTATTATATCACAGGTATGTAGGTCAGAAGTCCAGGTAGTTTGACTGGATTTTTTGCTTAGGGCTTGCAGGGTCTTGCAGGCTTAAATCATAGTTATTAGCTGGCCTGGAGTCTCTGGGGGCGGAGAATCTGTTTCCAGGCTCAAACAGGGTGTTGGCTGACTTCTGCTGTATCCCTCTGATTTCCTATTTTGCCCTTGGCTGAGAGAAACCTCTGTTTTTAAGGGCTTAACTGATGGTATTAGACCCACCAGGATAATCTAGGTTAATCTGCCTATCTTAAAATCAACTGAGTAATAATTATATCTGTAAAGTCCCTTCATAGTAGTACCTAGATTACTGTTTGATAATATAACCAGAGAATGGAAATCTTGGGGAGAGAGAGGGGGATAGCTTTAGAATTCTGCCTACCACAGTCTTCCTGAGGAAGTGATTTTTGAGTTTGAGACCTGAAGGATGAGTATGTATAGCAAGGGTGGTGTGACATGGTAGGTAGTGTTTTAGGCAGAAGGAAGAGCATATTTGAAGACTCTGAAGGAGGATAGAGCATGGTAGGTTTAAAGAATTGAAAGAAGGCCAAAGACTGGATTTTGGAGAAAAGTCTGGATAGTTAGACGAAGGATATTTCTTGTGGGCCTTATAGTCCATGATAAGGATTTTAGGTTTTAATCTAAGAATAGTGGGAAACCACTGAAGATTTTTAAGGAGTATGACATGATCATATCATTATCTTGAAGATACCACTGAGGCTACAGCATGGAGAGTAAATTAGAGAGGAGTAAGAATGGATCCGGAGCAGCAAGTTAGAAGGTTATTGTAGTTGTCTAGGGGAGAAACGATTGATGGTGATTTGCACTTGAGTGGTGGTAGCATCATTGAAGAGAAACAGATGGGCTGAATGAAGTGGATGGGTTGAAGAGATTTAAGAGGTAGAATTGAGGTAATATGGAGAGGCTCTTGGTGATTGGTTAGATGTGGGGTGAAGAGGAAGAATTGCATCAAGGATAAAATTCAAGTTCATGGCTTGGGAAATTTGGTTGATGGTAGCATTATTCATCTAAATAGGGAACAACATGAGGAGGAGCAGGTAGTTGACCCACTGAGACCAAAATACCTATGGTCTATCCAGATAGAGCTGCCAAGTGGGATGGTTAAGTATGACTATGAAGCTCAGGAGAGAAATTTGAATGGGAGATATAAATTTAGGATTTGGCAGCTTATAAATATTAGTCAAAGCCATCATCTGTTCATTCAGTAAATATTTGGCACCTGCAATGTGTTAGGTTTGGGGCTAGCCTGTTGTGATTGAGAAAGTAGGGAGCTTACATTCAGTTGGCATTGGACAGACAAAAAACAAGTAAACAAACATAGTTAATTTAGAGAGAGATAAGTGCAATGAAGAAAATAAACAGGTGATGTGATAGAGAAGAATAGGATGCTTTAGGATGGTCCTGGAAGGCCTCTTTTGAGGAGGTATTTGAATTGAGAACTAAAGTATGAGAAAGAACCAGTATGGAAGGAGTTGGAATATATGGAAGAGTATTTATATATACAGTGTGTAATAGCACATATATCCATAGAGAGATATAGGAAAGAATTATCCTCAAAATAATAATGGTAATTTTCTCAGGTGTTGGAATTTTAAGTAGTCGTTTCTTTCCACATGCTTTTTTTGGTATTGTTAGAATTTTTTCCATCAGTGTGTTCTTCAAATTAAAAAAAAAAAAAATTCCAAGAAGAAAGAACAGAAAATGCAAAGTCTGTGAAGTAGGAGAGAGCGTGACTTATGCGAGGGTCAAAAACATAGGTATATCTGGAGTGTGTGATGGAGAGGAAGAGTGATGCAAGGTGAGCTTGCACAATCTAGGTCATGGAGGGTCACAGAGAGGAGTCTGAATTTTATTTTGGGTGAAATGGAAAGAGTTGTAAAGGTTTTAGTACAAGAACGGCATGATGAGATCTAAGAAGATCATGTGTGATGTTTTATGGAGGTGGAGTAAGAGAAGGACAAGGATAGAAACCGGGAGATCAGCTAGGAGGCTGTTGTAGTAGTTTAATAAAAAATGAAGACGGATTGGACTGCCCAGTGGCAGTAGAGATGAACAGATGATTTGGAAATATTTTGGAAGTAAAACTGAGACAAACTTGATGGGAGGAAATGGAAGGTAAGGGAAAAGAAAGAATCATGGTGATACTTAGGTTTTTTGGTTTGACATTGGTGGGTGGGGTAGGATCTTTTTGATTGGGACTACTATAGTAAACATTTTTGGTTTAGTCTTTAGGAACTCCTGGTGCTGATACAATTTTAACTTTGTATGTAGGTAAAGAGCCAAAAATCAAGTACATGCATATTACAAAATAATTGTCTCTGCCATTTAAAAAATGTTTCTTCTCTTTTGAAATCTTTTGGAATGCTTCTTATCCCAGGTGTAGTCTCAGATTTCATAATGCAGAGCCCCTTTCCCTTGTTAACCTTCTATTTTTTTTTTTTTATGAAAAGAAGGGAGAAAAATTTAGAAAGGGAATAAGTGTGAGATGTTTAGTTGATTTAAATGTCTTTAAATACTTTAAAAAACTCCATTTGACATCCATTTCCATATAAAAATTGATTTTCTGATTATAGAAGATTTTTATCTAGTTGTAAAAGAATACCTGACAGGGAACTCTCTGTGCTAATTCTAATGCCTAAGCACAGATTGTGATTGGCTGTTGTGACTCAGAAGATTTTGTTTGTTTTTTTGCACATAAATCGTATACTAATTGTTTTTAAAAGTATAAAAATCTGGGGCTTCCCTGGTGGCGCAGTGGTTGAGAGTCCGCCTGCCGATGCAGGGGACACAGGTTCATGCCCCGGTCCGGGAAGATCCCACATGCCGCGGAGCGGCTGGGCCCGTGAGCCATGGCCGCTGAGGCTGCGCGTCTGGAGCCTGTGCTCCACAATGGGAGAGGCCACAGCAGTGAGAGGCCCGTGTACCGCAAAAAAAAAAAAAGTAAAAAAACTTAGTTTCTTTAAAAATGTTTTTTATTTCTTCAGTTTGATCTTTCCACTCTTTTGAGTGTGAAGCTTTGTTATCCTTACTGTGTCCTTCTGCCTGTTCTACATCACCTGCATCTAGTATTTCTTGGCTTGTTAAGCTTCAGAGCCATTTCTCACTTTGTCTCATTCACATCTGTGACCTGGTTCTCAACTGCTGCAGTTTCTATTTCAGTGAGCTGTTGTTCACTTTTGGAAGCATAAGACCAGTTATCCAACAAAGAATAGAATTGTCCTTCTGATTGATGACAATCAAAAAAGCATGAAATAGAATACAACAACATGAGAGTGGATGTTGTGGTGAACAGAAAGAAGACTTACCACAGGACATTGCCTTTTGTGTGTAATGTGAGCTCTTGCTCAAGCTTACCCCTGGACTTTTTTTCTTTGGAAACAAAGTTTTGATGTCTAGACCAGGGTTTGCTTAAAGAAATGGAGGCAGAAGGAGCAATAAAAGGTATTGCTTTACTCATCACTGTCTACATTAATTATAAAGTTTAGAAATCTACCTGATAACGACAAAAAGCGACTGTTGTCTCTGCATTCCAAGTTTCCCAAATGCTTTTACTGGCAGAGACGTCATGGATTCAGGACTGAGCATATATTGCCTAATCATAACTATTCCCAAATTATCTTTTTTGGTAGAATATCAATACCTGAGAAGATTTGAGATTTTATTTTGTCTTCTTTTTAGAATGTAATAGGGAGGAACTTGGTGAGATTCCAGTCTATTGGTTTTCTGCTTTTCAGATTTGATAATATATTTATATCTCTCTGATCTTTTCAACTGTTACTGAAACTGAAATTATGGTGAACTGATTTCATAGGAATTATTAAGATTGTGCTCCATAGTGAGGGAAGGTTTGGTTTACAGTTAAATTTTTGTATTTCTTCATTATGCTGGCAGATAGGCATTATCTTGGGAGTTGGCTCATTTTCTAAGAATGAACAACCATAAACTTTGTCTCTACCCTTAACTGACTCTGCAAGCAATCTTACAAACTTTTATTCCTGGATACCTTATTCTTACAAA